GGTAGGTGGTTGTGCCGCTGAGCTAGATACCTGGCTTTTTTTTTTTTTTTTTTTTTTTTGAGACAGAGTCACTCTATGCAGTTCAGTCTTGGCTTGAACTCAGTATGGAGCCTAGGCTGATCTCGAACTCACGACCATCCCCCTGCCTCAGCCTCCTGAGTGCTAGGATTACACGCGTGCACCACCCGTGATATTAACATTGTTGAAGAAGATAAACCCAATAGTTTAACGGAATTGCCCCTCAATTGTCTGTTTTCTGGTAATAAGATTTGAGTCAAACATTTTTGGTTGGTATATTGCATAGGTAATGTGGTGTCCTTCCTGGCATATGATATCAAGGGACACAAAATGTCAACTTGTCCTATTATAGGTAATGGTAAATTTCATTATTTGGTTAAAGGTGCTGTTTGCCAAATTTGCCCACTGTAAAGATACTTTCCCCCACCAAAAGATATTTTCCTACTTTGTAACAAGTAGTTTGTGATATTTTAAGACTGTGTGCAAAACCAGCTTTTAAACCACAATAACCACAGTTGTGTAGAACATGAAGTAAAGGTCACTCTCTCAGAAAGAGGAAGTGTGGGCCTCAGGCCCTTAGGCTCCTGCCTTCGGCCTCGCTAGAGTAGAACCTGCTGGTTGGAGAAGCAAGAACAGCGGCAGAGGGCAGCCGTGCTTGGAGGGTTTCATCCACGTCCGGACTGCTCCTGGAGCGGGCAGCTTGGTCCTCCAAGTTTCCGAGTTCTGCATCCACAGAGTCAACCAAGCATGAATCAAAATAACCTGCATCTGTCCTGAAGAGATACGTACTTTCTTTTTCTTGTCATTATTCTCTAAATGATAGTGTCACAACTATTTGCATAGCATTTACATCATACGTGGTATTATAAGTCCTCTAGACATGATTTAAAGCGTACTGGAGGTGTTTGTAGGTTGCACGCACACACTATGCCACTTTACAAGAAGGACTTGGGTGTCTGAGAAGTTGGATATCTACAGGGTGTCCAGAGCCAGTCCCTTGAGGAAGGACTTGATCGTGGGCTCCTACCTAGCAGAATTGCCCTGTGGTCAGAACTCCGAATCCAGTCATCTCTAAGGTTGCGGCCTCCCGAAGCAGTTTTCAGACTGGGGGTGGAGAAGTTGGTAGCCTCTTTTACTTTATTTCTATCTCAGAATCCCACCCATGAAAGGAAAGTAGCAACCACCACTCCTCAGTTCCTCCCAGTTCTGAGCAACTTCCCAGATGATCTTGCTGCAAGCGATTTCATCTTGGCCACAGGCTGTATTTGCTGCCTGCTCCTTAGCAGGGCTGGAAAAAAGGAACAAACCTGAAAATGAGCAGATATACCGTCCTCATCTCTGGGGACTCGAGACCAAGTTAGGAAAGAAACCACTCTCCCACCTGCTTGTTCAGAAGCTTGCTCACTGGTGCCTTTTTCCTCTCTGCTTTTGAAGATGATGCCGTGTCCCAGGATTCGGCCCCACCACCGAGCCATCTGCCCCCGATTGTGGGGAGAAACGGTCTGGAAATCCAGGGGAGCCCAGGCAGCCCTGAGACATCAGACGGCAGCAAGGTCCTGCCAAGTCCCCGGCACACGCAGGCATCGCCGGCAGAACAAGGTAACACTTCCCAGGGGGAGGGGGTCCCCTTCCCTGTTGCTTTTGTCTGGCTCACATCAGAGCCCCACAGCAGACAGGATGTAAACTGCCCATTGGAAAGGAGAAAGCGGCAGTGTTTCCGATGACAGCAGTGGGATTAATGTTCTCACTGCAGGTCTTGAGGGTTTGCTGCACCCGCAGGCACTGCCAGCCAGGGTAGTGCTTCCCTCTCCCTGGCAGCAACACGCAGTGACACACAGCTGGGAACTCAGGGCTCAGAACCCAGCCTTCACCCTTCCAGGCAGGGGAGCCTGAGCGCCCTGCCAGCGGGAGAAGTCCCCAAGGAAAAGTTATCTCCAGCCTGAGGCCAAGACCGAGGCGTGATCACGGCGTGGGGGAACCCTGGGTGTCTCCTGGCACCGAGGCATGCAGGGCCACACCTCCTACCATCCAGCCTCCCTGAAGTTCTCAGGTGAAGGAACCAAGGAGTGATGGTGCTTCTCTGAGGAGCAGGGCGGGCAGGAGCAGCAGCAGCAGCACAGCGCTCACTGGGACTTCCATCCGAAGGGAACTCTTAAAGCAGCCATCGCTGAGAGTAGGAATTGCCCCAGAAACTCTCAAGGGAGGCAACAGCTGAAGAAAGACAGGCGGCTTTCCAGAAGGAACAGCCCAGTAGCTGCTGTCCTGCAGGAGTCCCGGCGGAGGAGCCGGCACGCATGCAGGGGAAAGATGGCACTGTGTGAGGAAGGAGGCATCTTCGTTCGCGGCAGAATCACACCCGGGCTGTGAGAAGCTCACGCTCAGCAAGGATGCGGAGCTAAGAGCCCACGCGCACACACGGGAGCACACCTTTCATTCCACGCGCACCGGGGCACAGGGTCCTCTCGTTTAATCAGTCAGCTTCTCCCTGCCCCGTCCTCCCCCATTCTCTCCCCAAAGCAGATCTGGCGGAGTTCTTGTAAGTATAAATTAAATTAAAGACTTAGAGCACTAACCCCATTCTGTTTGCAACGTCTCTGTTTAAAGCCAAGATGATCAAAATCAAATTCCCTTCCTTTCCTCTTCCCGACATTCTTTCTCTCTCTTTCCCCAGAGGCGTTGTTCACACTCACGAGCCACGAGTTGGCCCAACTCTTTACACTGCAAGGCAGCCTCATTCTTCTAATTCCGATGTCACGTCAGCACAGTCCCCAAGGCAATCGTGGAGTCCCGCAGCCCGGGACCAATCATGGCAGACAGACACACACCTGCTCCCGGACGTCCTAACAGGACGCTGTGATTAGAGCAGAATGCCTGGGCCACGGCTGACAAGATGGAATGCTCCAGTGTGCACCTGACTGTGTGTGTGTGTGTGTGAGAGAGCACATGGGTCTCTGAGTGGGTAGTTGTAATGTGTGTGTTTATAGGCCTGTGTGAGAGCGTGTATATGTGTGCAACTGTGCGAGCCTGTCCGTGCATCCAGACCCATAAATGTATATGTGTATCACTGCTTGTGTATGACACATAAGTGCGTGAGTGTGCTGTGTACACACACATGCCTCCATTTCTGCAGTTATGCACACAGGTATGTATATGAGATGGTACATATGTGTGTGCACATCTAAGTGCTTGTAGTTCTGTGTGAAGATGGTGCATTTGTGATTGTAAGTGTGTATCGTGCTTTGGGGGTGTGCCTCTAGCTGCTGGCCTATCCTACTCTTAGCCCATTGGCTTTGGAAATGGAGAAGGTACTATATGAAATATATTTTGTCTTTGCATCTGATTCCTCTCACAGAGCTAAAAGCCATGGAATTTCCAGAATGGCAGGAGTGTCTTTTCTTATTCATAGGGAGCTCCTTAGATAACAACTGATTTACTCTAAGAAGTGACTTAGGGTAAGACTCCTAGCCAGGCTCAAGTCTGGATGGATCCCTGAAGGGACTGAGGGACTCGGGGGTAAAGGGTTGGACCCTCCCACCCCACCCACCTCCTTCAGGAAGAGGGAAGAACATGAGATCAAGCTCTGCAGAGGTGCTAAGGAGCAGCGGCTCCAGAGAGGGCCTGGAAGCACTACACACCCCGCTCCTAGACCTCCGGCTGTCCATTTCTGCCCTTTATAATATCCCAACAAACCAGCAAATGTAAGTATTTGAGTTCTGTGAGCCACCCTAGCAAACTATCCAACTCCAAGAGAGTTATGGGGAGCATAGGCCACACGCTGGGACTTGTGATCGGCCTCAGAAGGGGAAGCGGTCTTGCGGGACTGGGCCCCAGCCGTGGGACACTGACACCGACTCCAGGTGGATAGTTCAGAACTGGGTTGAAGTATAACACGCTGCACTGCAGTGTGCTAGATTTGCTTGATGGGGGAAACCGCCACTCATCTGGTCACAGAGGTGTTTCACAGTGAGTGCAAGGAGAGTAGGGGAAGAGGGGCGGGTGTTAGCCTTTACTGTCGTGTATAGAAATGCCTTCACCTTTATAAGTAACAGAAAAACACAGCTTCCTTCCTGTCTATCCCTGAGCCCCAGTCACTAAGCTGCCCCACATTTGGTCCCAGCCAAACACCACACAGAGGCGCCTGGTGGGCAGGGGAAGCAGAGCAGGTGTCACTGAGACCTGCGCCTGGGGCCTGGGCCACGCGCACCTGCAGAACGGGCTCCCTTTCCATTGCTGGGTGCCCCCAGCAGCCTTGTCCAGGCCCTGGAACAGCCACCCTCTCCAAATCTCCCAAAGACACGGCCCATCCCTCCATGACCCCAAGGAGCAGGGCTTTCTCTGCGCCCTCCAGACTCCCGAGCACACCAGCGTCCGTGTGCCTGTGCCCCCTGGGATTTGGGGGACACGGTCCACATCCACCTCCCTCCCCCACGCCTGTGCTGACATTGCCCATCCTGTGCTTCTTTCCAAGAAGATTCCAGAGGTCCCACACTTGAGCACTTCCTCAGGGGTCCTGATGGAGACAGACAGCGCCCACCTGTCCCCCCTAGGGCCCTCCAGAGCCCAGGCTCTGCCCTCTGGTGAAGGTCAGATAACGCATTCTAGGTCAGCCTTGCTTTTGTCTCTTTTTTTTCGTTTTTGGGTGGAGGGGGGGGCGCGCGGGTTGCAGTACCGGGAACTGAACTCACGACCTTGCGCTTGCCAGGCAGGCGCTGTGCCGCTGAGCTAAATCCCCAGCCCCCAGCCTTGCTTTTGAAGGGAAGACTTTACCAGCAGCTCCCAAAATTTCCCAGCAGCAGAGACAGCATTAAAAACAGATGCAAGCCAGCCAGTGTCTCCCTCTCCCTGACACAGAGGTGCTTCTGTAGCTCACACACAATAACCCTGTGTTTGCATAACAAGTCCACTCTTGCTGGGGCATTTGGAGAGAGCAGTTCAGTAGAATGGCTTGCGAGAGGTCTAGCGTGCCATGCTGATGCCCGGATGGGCATGATAAAGCCCCTCTGGTATTTGCCCAAACTAAACACTGTGCTCTGCTTTCCAACCCCCTCCAAGGTGGAGGTGGCTAATTGTTAATCCAATCAGGTATCCTCGTTATGCGCACCGGTGTGTTGCTCTGAATCATCTGGCAGCTGGCAAGGCAGTTTCCACAGCCCTTTCTGGCACATTAACTTTTTGGGAGAGAGATGCTGGCTCTGGGCAAAGCCGTTCTGCAAAGGAAAGAAGAAATGAAGTCAGGCCGCGATGAGTGTCAGCCACCCAGAAAGCAGCCTAAGGGACACGCCTGAGCTGCCCAGCCCACAGCCCCTCCATGCGGGAGAGTAAAAGCTGCCTTCCTTTGGCGGGTTATATCGCCACTGGCCTCATGAAAAGAACATGAATCTGGAGCCAGGAGAGTGGAGGAGCCCTGGCCTGTCCTCTGTGTGGAAGATGACTTCAGGTCCCTTACACATCCTCCCTGTGTCCGTGATTCCTCATCTGAAGCGAAAGGCTTGCCTCCTCCTCTGAGAAAGCCCCGGGGCACTTTATAGCTTGTGTCCGTTCCTACCGAAGCAGCCACCTCGTACAGGGGCTTAAAAAAAAAAACAGAGTGTATTTGGTTCCACATTCAGTGTCAAAGAGTCCATCACTGCCCGGGTTCCACCCAGAGCCGAGTGTAAAAATGTCTGGATTCTGGATTGGTGGGCACAGGAGGGGGAGGGGGAGGGGTCTGGCGGTGTGACACAGCTGGCAAAACAGCTAGAAGGCAACTGCCACTCTGTTCACCTGCTGCACATTTGTCTGCTCTGTTCCAGTAGAAATAGTTTCCTTTTTGGTAAAGCAAAAGCCAGAGGCACAAAAAAAAAAAAAAAAAAAAAAAAAAATCTAGCTTTAAATGCATTGTCACCGTTGTCAACCCAGTGAATTTGAGTATTCTGTGCACCTAACACAGTCCTTGATGCATGTACACCAGCATCACAGGAAATGTTCACTGGAAAAATTATTGAAAATCTTTCATTAACTTCAGAGTAACAGAGAGAAATGAAACTTAAGCTGAATAAATGAAGACCTGTCTGTCATCTTGTCCCTGCCTCAAGGACAATATATTCAATCCTTCCCCTTAAAGAGGCATTCACTGCCAGTTATGGTGGTACATGCCTATGATCCCAGCATTCGAGAGGCTGAGGCAGGAGGATCACTACAAGTCTGAGGCCAGCCTGGACTACACAATGAGACCCTCTCTCAAAAACAAGGCATTCACTGAATGAAATGAATGAATGGATCAATCGATGAGTCATACCCCTCTCTGCAGCCTTCCTTCCAGAGATAGTTGCTTGACCTTTGGTATTTGTTTGTTTGTGACAGGGTCTCCATGTGTAACCCAGGCTGGGCTCAAACTCAGGGCGATCCTCCTGACTCAGCTTCCTGAGTGCTGGGATTCAGGTGTGTGTGACCACATCCAGCTTGACCTTTGGTCTTCATGGAGATTAGAGGGTGCTCTGCAAGGTAGGGGGAAGATCTTAAACCCACTTCTGCTCATGAGGTCCATTGAATAGGTAGAGCTTTCTAAAGTGTTAATGGAAAGGGTTTTTCTCAGTTTTTGAAGTAGTACCTTGAAAAACCTTCTTCCTCTTCTCTTGCAAAAGGTTTACTCCAGCTACACCTGATTCCTACAGCTCAGACTGTTCGAGTCCACCTCAATTACTATCTCCATCCTCCCCTTCTAGGGTGCTTTCTCCACCTTTTTCTCATCTCTGGTAGCCCAAACGTTCAGTCTCCATTCTTTTCCTTCCAAGATACTCAAATAACCCTCCAATACTTAGAACAGCTTTAAGTTCATCTTTTCTGGACATTTTTCTTACTAAATCTACCTCATCTCCTAACTGCCTACATTGTAGCCTCAGCCCATTTCTCCTTTTCAATCCCTCTTTTGTGATTATTGTATTTATCTGCATCTGTTTTCTGTTTAGCTCCCAAATATGTGAGTCCTAGGGACCCTCTCCTCTTTATCATATGTCCAAGAAACGCTTGTTGATTGACTGAATACCCCAGGTGCCACAAAGGAAAGTTCTTAGGGGAATCATAGTTTTGTTTTATTAATAAAAAAAAACTAAAGCAAAGGAGGAATATGATCTGTCTGCTATTTCTGAGACTTTCAGAGTCTGTCAACAACTATTTGGAAATAAATTCCTAGGCAATTAGATCATGATATCTTGCTTCAGACTGCATAGGGAGAATATAACCTTCAGAAGAAAAGAAAGGAAAAAAAAAAGATGTGATGACTAGAGCTGGAATTTGACCCTCCTGGTCGTATTGGGATATTGCAACACTTAAAAAATTCAAAGGCTTAAGAAAAGTGAACTTGGAAGGATCCAAGTCAAAACTGGATGGGCTCTCTGCATTGCTTGTTGTTGATTCAAGCTCCTCATCCATTCTCCGGATCACAATGCCAGCAAGAGATGCTTTTCTCTCAGAAGTTCCTTTATTCAGGAGTTTTTTATTACAAGAAGATCAAAGATGTCTGTGCCAAGGATTCAAGCTGGAACTTCAGGTCCCATGGAAGTTTAAATTCCTGGTCTCCTTTAGGGTTCTAATTAGCATTTGCTCTTACCTGCAATGGATTTTTACTCTCAAAATGTGTCTTGTTTTTTTGTTTTCTGTTTAGTAAGCATTCTTCACCCTTGCAACTCTTTCTTGGAGTGGTGGTTTTAACATATATCCACAAACTCTTAGACACTTCTCCCATCAAAAGGAAGAAGCTAACTCCCCAATCCTTAGAGGAGATGGAGATTGGCTCCCTTCTAACAGATACTATGACAGAAGCGATGGTGTGCGACTGCTGGGACTGCCGCTGTCTTAGCCCACTGTTGCTGTAACAGAATACCTGAGACTGATAATTCATCAAGGAGAGAGGTTTACTTTGGCTCATGGTTCTGGAGGCTGAGAAGCAGAAGAACATAGTATCGGCGTCTGCTCAAGTCTGATGAGAAGCCCGTCCTGCATCATAACACAGCGGAAAGGCACACAGGGAAGCCAGCAAGTGTGACAGAAACAAAACACAAGAAGCCACTCGCACAATAACTGATACAGTTCCTTGAGATTGAGAATTCCCCACTGCCTCCAGAATTCACCCCGTCATAAGACAGCGCTTACCCCTGTGGGAGAGCAGAGCTCTCCTGACCCAAACACCCCTTGAAGCTCCCACCGCCTCCCAGCATCCTCACACTGGCGTCAGATTTCAACATGAGTTTTGGAAGGGACAAAGCATATTCAAACCACCACTGGGTCATAAAAGGTGTGGCCTTCTCCATGCTTGGACACAGAAAGCTAGCTGCTGTATCTGTCGGGAGGCCACTCAAGCAGTGCACAGGGCAAGGAACAAAGCCTGCTGCTCAACACACAATGAACTTTTCAGCCTTGAGAGAGGACACTCCGCTCCAGTTAGGTCTTCAGATGACCATGTTCCTGGCTGATACTGTAAATGTGACCTCATGAGAGACTGAGCCAGAATCCCACAGCTCAGCCATTCCCAGATTTCCACTGAAAATGTGGGAGGTAGAACAAGGTTTGTGGTCTTTAGTCACTAGGTTTCTGGGCAACTTGTTTTGCAATAATAGATAAGTGATATAGATGGTGTCATTTGCTGATGGCCTATGATGTGGTAAACAGAAAAATGAACGGTCTGAGTACATCCAAGCACTGACTACATGGGGCAAAACATGCTAAGTGGTTGACTTTTCCTTTGTTCTCCCCATTTGTCATTTGTGATCATGTAGATTGTGAAACCCCATGGATAAAAGAATCCTTCCACATTGGTGGGATATTTGACAAAGTATGATCTCCCTTGGGAACATGTCTCTCAGTAGCTGTTGTCTTAAAGAGATGCCGAAGGGTTTAAAGGAGGACATCTCCTGTAGATGAGGCCATGTGAAGAAGCTCCTGTGGCTTTTGTGACTGTAGGCAAATAACTTCATTCCTTTGGACCCCAGCTTCTTCATGTGGAAAAAGGGGACATCGGTCTTATGTCCAACCTCCAGGCGCAGGTCCCATGCAATGCCAGTTCCACAGAAGGTTGACAGGCAGTATGCAAAAAGAGAAACGCCCTATTATCACATGCATCTGGGAACCAGTGGACTGAAGCAGATTCATTACGTAGACCCTCACAGAGTCTAACAGACCATGGCTCTCTGAGATGTGGCTATGCACTGTTTCCCAAACCTATTTGACAACTGAATACTTTGTTTTTAGCAAAGTGCCATGTGAATCTAAATTGGTTTTGGAACATACTTTGGAAAATGCTAAACTGATGATGTCTAAGGTTCCTTCCAGCTCTAATAGTGTGTATTTCTAAATATGCCCCTTCCCAAAGAGGCCGTCTCAGTGGGGGTAGCTCTGCTGACTAAATCCTGAGGCAGGATCTCAGCCATCCACTAATTTATGACTGTTCTTATTTCCATTCTCCAGACATCAGTTCTGAATAATAGGGTCCACAATGCCTCCATCTGTGGGAGAAGTAGAGGAAGGTAGAAAGAGGCCCACGTGGTAATGATTTGCCTTGTTCTTTTTGCCCAGTCAGTGTTTACTAATAACCCATAAGAAATGATGCTGGCAGCTGTTACCAGTTCCACTGATCTCAGGTCAAGCCCATGAGTACAGAAAATGTGGCTGGAGATGATCGGGCATCCAGCGTTTCCTCCTAGTGGGCTTTCCTGTACTGCAGACGCCAGAAGCTGGAAACTACATTTCCCACACAGCCTTTTTGGAGAGGGGGCTGGATGCAAATGACATCCTGTCAATTAAACGTGCTTGCATGAGATTTGGAGCCCTAAGTGTGAGGCTACATATGTTGGCACTGACCTATGAGGCCTGGGCACGTGGAAGGGCAGTTGCCATGGTAACCCTGTTGTTGTTTTTTTCCTAAAAGGCCCAGGTGGTTCTGTTCCATACTGAGCCTTCCCCTATAAGCTCTCCCTGGCAAAATCATGGGTGAGTTCCATCAGTCTAAGCATGGGCTCAGTTGGGTCTGTGATATCACAGTGTCAAGTGGTTGCAGAACAGTGACCGTGACGCTGTGTTTGTCCCAGACTCAGCAAGAAGCAGGGTTCTTTCCCTCACAGCCCACACTGAATAGTGCTCAGATAGCCACCAGCAGAGAGAGCTCATAACAGACACTAAGGGCTCTCTTTCCTTTCTTCAATGAAAACCTCTGGTAATTCCCCAAAACCCAAAGACCCCCAACCTTTACTTGGCTGAAAAGGTGGCATCATCCCTACTTTATGAAGAAGAAAAATAACAGTTGGCTCTGAATTCACTAGAAAGTTCATTGTTGCAGAAAAAACTCAATCAGAAGTGTTGAACCATAGTTAATTTCTCTTTATTTTTGGCATATTATGATACTTTTTGACGGAGCCAATGATGCTAAGAATTCTACCTTCCCTGGCTTTGTTCTGTTTTGGAGAACCCTAAAGTCAGGGGGGAATTTGGGCATCACCAGTGATGGGCGTAACATCAGCAAAGGAAGCATTTCCTCAGATTCACTAGCACACCAGAGGATAATGGCAGAACTTCCTGAGCAAGTGGGGATGGTCTGACTACATCCCTCCTGATGTCTCCGTAGCCCCACTAACTCTTCTCTCCTAACATGTTTCCTAATGGGGGCTGCAGAGTGTCGGTGAGGGCCGCCAGAGACAGGAGACCAGAGTTTGGAAACTCGTTTTATGGATAAGAGAATAGAGACCCAGAAAAATATGATTTGCTCAAAGTCATACAATTTTTACATGAGAAATCCAAGGTTCACATCTAACCTTCCTGTACTATTAGGTCTAAGATCATCCTACCACTTCACACTGCCTCCAGCCCCTCTCGTCCATGTTTCCTGGCTTTTGACCAGCTAAAGTCTCCCTTTCACAGTGACACCTGGCCTGACTGCCGTACGCACTGATTGCTACCCACTTAGGTTCCACCAGTATGACTGCCTGAGCCTCTTACCAGGCATTCTCTCTCTTTTTTTTCAATCATTTTAACTTTTTAAAATTTTTTCCTCTATATTTAAATTTAAATTCCTGTAAGTAGACTCCTGTCATCTACTGAATATCTTAGCAAATACAGTTGGTACTCACACAGCATTGTGTATAAACATTGATTGAAGCTATAAATAATCGAGACTTTAATGTTCCCCCAAATCCATTATTCTTTTCATTAATATAATTTCCATCCTTGAATTTTAGCTGAACACATGGCTGGATTGTATTTCCCAGCATCCCTTGCAGCTAGGTATGGCTACTTAACTAAGTTTTAATCAATAAGGTGTAATTAGAAGTAATGTGTGCCCTGTAGTCCCAGCACTCAGGAGGCTGAGGCAGGAGTATTGCTGTGAGTTTGAAGCCAGCCTGGGCTACAAAGTGAGTTGAAGGCCAACCTGAACTGCATAGTGAAACCCTGTTTCAAAAAGACAAAAAAAAAAAGTAATGTGTGCAACTTTCATGTCAATTCCTTAAAAGGAATTCTGCCCTCCCCTTACTCTTTTATTTTGGAGTTGGTTGTGGTGGTGAAAGAGCTTCAACATGTAAAAGAAAACCATACTCTATGTGATGATAGAGCAATAAGATATAAGGAACCAGGGTGCCTGGATAACTTCATGGAGCAGAGCCACCTGATCTGCCCAGCTATCTCCAGGCTCTTATGTGAAAGAAATAAATGTTTATCGTTTGGTATCACCTTGTTACAGCAGCTTTCCTTATGCATTAACATTATTCAACTATGAGGCTGATCAAAAACTATGGTGAATGTTAATTCTTTAAAATTTATTACAGTAGAAGACACACTGCTATTAATCCTCCTCAAGATACTGCCCCTCACTCTGAACACATTTACCCCATCATTCTTGCCACTTTCTGAAGCAATGCTGGAGGTCCCCTTTATAAGTGTTTTTAATTGTACTGTCATGGCTGCCTCAGTATCCTAAATCAGTTAAAAATATTTCTCTTTTCATGCTCATTTTGACTTTGGGAAAGAGCCACAAGTTGCACAGTCCCAGGTCCAGTGAATAAGGTGGAGGATGTTTTGATTTAACATAATTTTAAGCAGCACAATCATGCAACTCCATGAAATGCATTGTTCATGATCCATGATTTACAGCACAATTTAAAACCCACTTTCTCACCTGGAATTCCAGCACTCTGGAGGCTGAGGCAGGAGAATTGCACTGAGTTCAAGGCCAGCCTGAAATACATAGAGAGACCCTCTCTAAAAAAAAAAAATAATAATAATAATAAATCTCACCTCTCAACTATAGCTCACAACCAAATGACTCTGCTGAACAAGTTGAGACTTGTCAGACAATGTTACTAGAATTCAAGGTGCCACATCCCATACTGAAGATCCCTGCCTTTCTGTTGGATAATAGGTGACAGCAGCATTCACCACATTTTTTAATAAGACCGGACATAATAGCTGCCAGTCTGCACCATGTTGATCTGTGAAAATCCAACTAGCTCATACTTGCACTGCATCTAACAGAGTACAAGTTTCAAAATGAAGTATCACTGGCCCTAAAAGAAAGGAGGCACCACATATGTATTTCACTCCTTCACTACAGTGTACAGAGCACCTGCCATATTCAAGGGGCACAGGAGGGTGTTAATACTGCGTTGGCAGTGAGCATGAACATGTCAGCTCACTCCTTCACCCCATCATCCTGTGAAGTATTGTCATGCCCGTGTCATAGCAAGGGAATTGGAACACAGGAGGGTGACTTACCTGGAAGGAGCAGTGGCCAGTGGGCCTGCACCGTGGAAGGGGTCCTGAGGGAGGCAGACCAGGGAAGGCAGTGCTTGCCAGGGTAGACCTGAAATGCTGTCTTTAGGCACAAGGAATCACGGGTGTTTGAGCAGGAATGTCATGCAGGCCACCACGTGTGCCAGTGTGGAGAACAAGGGGAAGAAAAGGCAGAGAGATCCAGCTACCAGAAAATCCCCGGGATAAGGCAGCTGACAAGAGCTGGGACAGAAGGTGCTGGGCCGACACAGCATATCTCAAAAAGGGGAGAGCACAAGGTCGCGGGCCTACTGCCTGGTTGCGCGGACGTCAGCCAGCACTGTGAAATCAGAGCACCCAGTGAGCAGCCTGCGTGTGGAGTCTCCACAAAATTGGCTGCAATTATCTTTATTCTGTTTTTACTTTCAGTTAAGGGATGACTGGGGGTGGGGGATGTGTGTGTCTCCCATGTATTGTAATTAAGATAAAACAACAATTAGAGTGCTCGAGCCTGTGTGCTCCAGCAGCGGCACCCACAGGGCCAGGTGGGGCCTCCCGCGTTTCCAGTCACCCTCCCACTAGTGCAGGAGAAAGAGCTCCATGTGCCTCTCCCCCACTCATCTGTCATGCAGTGTGGCTGGATTCAGGCTTATAGTGTGCTGCAGGGGAAATGGCTACGCTCCCTTGCAAATAACTGTGGCAGTAAGAGGAGTTCTAAGGAAGAGCCCAGAGCAGATTCCGTGGGAGACAGGAGGCAAAGGGCGGCTGAGTAGCAGTGGAAAGCCCGCGTGAACCCTCCTCTCCCCTCTCACGCTACGCTCCTGGAAGTTTCTCTTTCAGGGCTGTTCTAGCCTCTTTTTCCTCTCAGCCACCGACCACTCAATTCTTGGAGGGAAAATTAACATTCATTATGCAATTTATCTCTCTCCTTTTAATCCAGAGTGTCTGTCTCCAAGGTCCCTACTCAATAATTAACGTTTGTTCTCATTTTCCATTCTCTAGAGCATCTATTCTTGAACTGTGGGGTCAACAATTAACACTAATTATAGCTTTTTCTGCCTCCACTGTTGGCTCTAAGAATCCCAGGTTGCCTGCGCAGCCTCCGGTAGGCGTGTGTGTGTGTGTGTGTGTGTGTGTGTGTGTGTGTGTGTGCGCAGCTAAGTAGGCTTTTCTCACCCCCATGCAGCTCAGCAAATCAATAAAATCCAAACAGTCTTTTATGGCAAATTCTCTGGTATATTTATTATCAGTAATGAGACAATGAGGCAAAAATAAATAAAGAAATGAAAGTATTTGGCTAGGTAATTAGCCTAGAACATCTAAACCTTTCCCAGTTTGAATATTCTAGGATTCCTGTGACTTTCTCTCTGTCTGTCTGTCTGTCTGTCTCTCTCTCTCTCACACACACACACACACACACACACACATCAAATTTCCCTTTAAAAACTAATCTGCATTCAGGATTCACTCCTTGAACCTCTTTACTGTTACCTCTCCCTGAACTGTCTTTCTCACATCTGTCATCCTTCTCGTCAGCATTAAACCAGCCTTGCTTTAACTTGTTCTCGTTTTGATTGACAAAGACAGTGAGGAGAATATTTCTCACTCCAGGTAACTAGTAGATCACAGAGCATTGCATCAGGCGCTGTGCACAAGCCTGCCTGTCGTTCTGGTGGGAGTCAGATGGGCTGAGAGCTCTCCTCTCTGCCTGGTCTGATCCACCCCACTGTGGAGACCAGGGCTCTTTGCTTGTCTGACAACCTGGTGGCTGCGACACACAGTCCCCACATGGCACAGCTGCTCTTACATGTGGGAATCTCTTTGCAGCATGCGTCAGACACCAACTGTTTCATGCTCTTGCTTTGTCAAAAGTTCACCTTGCAGATTTTCAGGATCATGGGCCCTGCAGGGTTTTACCTTAAGCACCTTACATAAAAACAGTATGTCCCTTAATGTTTTTGTAAGTCTTCTCTCCGTAATAGAATCTACAGATTCTCAAAACCATCCAATTCATTGTGAATCTCTTTCTTTCAGTTTTCATTTTTATTACTACATGGGTGAGGTTCATAATAAAAACCCTCATTGTGGGGAGTTGCTCTATGTAGCACATCTTTTTATGTCCCCTTCCTCTCCCTTTGCTCCCACCTCCAATCTTAAGCATTAAAAAAGCCACTTTGTATTTTCCCCAGGTTGGGGGTAAGGAAATTGATTTTTAAAGTTTTTCATACTCAGGTAAAATCCCTTATTGTTTTTCAGTCTATGAATCTGTCCAATCAAATATCATCCATGAAGAAGAAGGATCTGGTGTTCAGCATCTCCGAAGAGGTAAGCTTTTTCTCTGAAGTCGCATTGACTTCTCTTCTGTATCATCACCATCACCACCACTGACACTTTTCATGGCCGGACCTCCAGGAACACACACTGCGCCCTGAAGGAAGTGGGGGTAGGGTGTACTTCAGGGAAAGCCTGAGGAATGATTGTTCTCGTGAGTTACTCCTGGGCGGCCCCAAGTGCGCTGGCCTGAGTATGAATATTAAGGAAGAAACCAAGCCAGCTTGAACCAAATACTCACTTACCCGGCCAAGGAAGGGTAATTTGCAGACTCTGCACTGCACAGCTCGCATGAGAAGGAAGTGACACTGCCCCCTAGAGTTGTGCAGAGCCGCAGCCTGCACAGCCACAGACTAGAAAGCGATGTGGAACAGACCCTGTGGCTCTTATTTCAAGGGAAGGACAGGTCGGTCCTGCCTCTCCCAAGATTCCTTTTAGGTTTCATTTCCCCCATGGAGAGATGCAAAACTCTGTAGCTCATCTTTCCCCCCCAGACATGGCTGCTCCTGCTTCAGACTAGGAGGAAAGAGTGATTGAGGAGAGGCTCTCTCCTGCTCCTAAAAACAGTCTCTAATTAACAGGGAAATGTGTGTGGTCCTCCTCGCTGTTCATCTGGGAGAGGCAGCTGTGAATTCTGCATGCGGGACCTGCCCTGTAACAGGAAGCAACAGAGAGGGCTGGAGCCAGCGCTGGGTGGAGGGAATTGCTTTTGCCAGAGATTGCAAAAGTAGGAGAAAGGACACAGTCATATCCTTGGCAGTCTCAAAATCTGTAAGCACAAAAATACCTGCAAGTCTGGCCTGCTGCACTACCCTCTTGCCATTTTCCTTGGGCAGAAATCCTGACCTCAGCGGGAAGAGTTTTAGTGTCAGTTTGCTCATTTTCACACTTAAGTTTGAACTTGGGCAGGACAGTTGTGTTTTTGTTTGCTTTGTGGTGCTGGGGATCAAATTACAGAGTATCCATCTACCGGAGGTGGTGGTAGTGGTAGTGGTGATGATGGTGGTGGTGTTGATGATAGTGAGGGTCATGGTGATGATGGTCATGATGATGATGGTCATGGTAGTGGTGACAGTGATGGTGGTTAGGAGGATGATGGTGGTGATAGTGCTGGTGGTGATGGTGATGGTGATGGTAGTGATCATGGTGATGGTGAGAGTGCTAGTGATGATGGTATACAGTGGTGGTGGTGACGGTGGTGACAATTATTATTAAATATCTCTGATATGCCAAACACTATGCTGAATGTCTTTCATTCATTAGTTTACTTCATCCTGTGGCAATATCATTGACCACTTCTCACACTGGACACCATGGCTCAGAAAGGCTAATTGTCTTGCCCAATATTACACAAAGTGGTAAAGCCAGAATTTGAACCTGCATTTTTCTTCTATGTGTGGTTACTAGTGGTGTCAACATAAACAGACACATTTCCATCGGACAGTATATGACTTAATAATGACCCCTCCCAAGAAGCGGCACCTGTTGAACATTCCTTTCCCCCTCCAGTTCCCCTTACTCATCACCAGAGACTGTCTTGTGGCCAGTACTGAAAATGATCTGTAACTTTCAGCAATATTATGAGAAGAAGAGGAAAAACTGAAAAAAAGTTTGTGAGAAAAGTAGGCCTGCTTTACAGGGTAGCAAACCAAAAATATTCTTCTAAATACACCCTAAAGTGGTACAATCTCATTTCTTTTCTTTTTTTTTTTTTTTTTTTTT